AAAAAAAAAAAAAAAAAAAACTATGTTCGGTGCGGTTCGGTTAAAACCGCATCATTCGGACAAAAAACCGAACCGCACCGAAACTTGTGCAGTTTTTCAAAAGTTTAACCGCACCGAAAACCGAATCTTAAAAAACCGAACAGAACCGCACCGAATACATCGGTTCGGTTCGGTTTTTCGGTTTCGGCTCGGTTTTGCTCACCCCTACTCCTGGCTAATAAACCGAATTGATTCCTGCCGGTCTATCCTGTCGGTTTACCCAAAGTACTCTCTTGTGCTATATCAAGTTGGTCAATGACGATTGCAGTACAGTCACCGATAATATCGAATTAGATGTCCACATGCTCAAACCTTAGGCTTTAGATTATTAAAATATAATAAAATAGTTATAGAGAAAAGGAAAGCAAAAAAAAAAAAAAAAAAAAAAAAAAAAAAAAAAAAAAAAAAAAAAAAAAAAAAGAAAAAAAAAAAGGCAATCAGATTTGAAAAGACAGAAGCTAAGCAAAGAAAGGGTAAAAGGGCAAAGATGCAGAGTTTTGGGCAGTTCCCACTTTTATTATACATAGTTTAGTAAAGTCGCATCACGTGCTGCCCCTGCATACTTTTCTTATTTTGCTTTTGGGCCCCTCAAAATAGAAAAATTACACATGGAGTACATAAGTTCACGTGAGGCAACTTTTTTTATCCAAAGTAACATTTTGTTGTAACTTGTAACAATTTTACAAAATTTTGACCGAATAACAATTTTGAGTTTGTATTTAAATTTAGAAGAATTGTGATTGAGATTGAGAGTGACGAGTACTCAAAATTATGTGAATAATTGAATAGTAATTTAAAATTAATGTGACGTGTGACAATAAATGATTGATATATTTAATTAAATTTTAATATTAATAAATTATAAATTATCCAATTCATTTATTATTTAATTTATTGAAACTTCCCCCACAAATTACTTATATATACAAAATCCCAAATCAATTTTCATCTTCAAACTTAAAATATTAAGTAAAATATAATAAAAATAAATAATACTAAAAAAAATATTAAATTTCAAAGAAAATTTGTAAATCTCTCCTTTTTATTTATGCATGTATATATACTATACTAGGGATAAAATAGTCAACCCATCTACAATTTTAAAACGACGACCGTTAAAGGGCAGCAGCACCTACAATTTCACCCGCCAAAAAACGGTTTTTTTTTTTCATTTCAAATAGAAATTCAAAATCTCCACACACACACACACGTTCCACAATCAATCAATCAAATCTCCGCCATGAAAGCCCTAATTTTGATATCCATCGTCTTCCTCGCGTTCTCCCCCAAATCATCCGCTCTCCAAATCCTCTCCAAATCGAAACTCGAAAAGTGCGAAAAGGCCTCGGGACCCGACCCGCTCGACTGCACCTCCAAAATCGTCCTCGACTTGGCCGTCCCCAGCGAGTCGGTACGCCCGCCCATAATTTTTCAGTTTTCTTTTTTTCGACAAGTCTCGAAAATTTTCTGTTCTACTTTATTTTTTTCGGGTTAAAAAAATGTTCTGTTTTTTTGGCAGAGTGGCCGAGAGGCGTCGCTAGTGGCGGAGATAGTTGAAGCCGAGGAGAACTCGAGCGACCACATGCGCACCCTGCGGGTCCCGCCAGTCGTGACTATTAACAAATCCGCTGCTTATGCGCTCTACGAGTTGACGTATATACGGGTGTGTCTGAGTATCCCCCCCGTTTTAAGTCGATGTTTATTTTTTTTGGTGTCTTAATCAAATGAATTACACCCGGAATTCGTTGAGGGTGGAATGAATAATACGTTTTAGGGAAATTGTGGTTTGGGGAATTAGAGATGAATCACTGCCTCGTGTACTAGAGATCTTGTTGCAAGAATTTAATATTACGCGCTCTACGAGTAGACATATATACGAGTGTGTCGAGCATCCAATTTTAATTCGACGTTTTTGGAGTGTGTGTGTGTGTGTGTGTGTGTTTGGATTTGTGAAGGTTTTGGTGTCTTATTCGAATGAATTATATGAGATATCCAAATTGATCGAGGATGGAGTGCTTAATACGTATATATGGGTGTGTCGAGCATCCCCTTTTTAATTCGATGTTTTTCGGAGTAAACGTGTGTGCGTGTGTGTATTTAGATTTTTGAATGTTTTGGTGTCTTAATCGAATGAATTACATGAGATATCTAAATTGATTGAGGATGGATTGCTTAATGCGTATATTTAGGTGGGTCGAGCATGCCTTTTTAATTCAACCTTTCCGGAGTAAACTTGTGTGCGTATAGATTTGTGAATGTTTTGGTGTCTTAATCGAATTACACGAGATATCCAAATTAATTGACGGCGGATGGCTTAATACATTTTAGGGGAATTGTGTTTTTGGAATTAGACATGAATTACGGCCCTTGTGTGCAAGAGACCTTATCGCAATAATTTGATTTTATATTATAGGATGTTGCTTATAAGCCCCAAGAATTTTATGTTAAGACGAGGAAATGCGAGCCTGATGCTGGAGCAGACATCGTCCAAATATGCCAGAGGCAAGTAACCTTTTTCGTATGCGTTTTTTTATTTTAGGGCCAAAACGAAATAAAATGTAGTTACATACATTTTCGTAAGTGCGTTTTTGGAACTCGGGTATTAATGTTGATTTATGTGTTAATTTGTTTGAAAAGGTTGCGAGATGAGAATGGTCACATTATCGAGCATACGCAGGTCAGGTTTTCATAGCAACTTTCATTTCATGTTCTAATCAGCAGTCTTATTATCCAATGTTCATTTCTGTTGAATGTTTATGTGGCTTTAATATATAATCATCTGAACAGATTATTTTATTTTATTTTAATTATTCATAATCTCCCGTGTTTGCTACATAGCCGACTTGCTGTCCTTGCGGAGACCAGCGCAGGGTCCCATCATCGTGTGGAAACTTCTGTAAGTTTACAGTTTTCGTTGCATCTAATTTGTTGATGAAATTGCAATATAACATTTTAAATTTTCTATTATTAATTCAGTTGACAAGTTGGTGAAAGGGAAGGCAAATACAGCCCATTGTCTTCGTTTTACAGATGATTGGTAAGGTATCTTCGTATTTTTGACATGTAAAACTATATTTTGTTACTGTTCACCTCGAGTTAATGGTGTTTTCGCCTGTCGAGTTCATTTAAGAGAACAAAATGTTGGAAGTTTGTGATTTTCATCAATGTGTTAAATGTGATTGTTAAAAATATGCATGTTGTTTTAATGCATTTTTATCTTGTATGTTATTATTATTATTATTAATTTTCTATAATGCGCCTATTATGTTGATGGTAGGTTCCATGTGTTTGGTATTGGACAGCGCTCGGTTGGATTCAGTATCCGTATTGAGATTAAGACGAAATCAAAGACATCGGTAATGCAACTTTAATTTAGTTACATTTTCTAGTTACATAATTGCAGTATTATGATCTGGCACAGCAAATGACAGAAGAAAGAACTATAATTAAACAAAAAATGCAGAAAGGATATAGAAATATGGAAGGAGAAAATAGTTACCTATAGACTTTGAAAACTTATTGTGAATGTACTTTATTTTATTTATTTTTACTAACTAATATGAATACGCATACAATAGCTCGATTTATTTTTGTCCTTGTGATTTAACCCCTGACCAGTTGCATGGAACTATCATATTTGAAAAAAGTTTTGATCTATTTGAAAATGTACATCTTTTTTCTCTTTTGGCAGGAAGTGATTGTCGGTCCAGAGAATAGAACTGCAATATCCAGTGATAAATTCTTGAGGGTGAATATGGTCGGAGATTATGTGGGATACACTAATATTCCATCTTTCGACGACTTTTACCTTGTTGTTCCTAGACAGGTTAGCTTGCCTTCTCCTGTTTTGTTTTCTTAAAGCCTGAATCTTGATCATATAAAGTAAGTAGATAAAAGGAGTGGTAAAAACTAAAAAGTCTCTAAAATTCGAAAAAACATGTGGGATTATGCTGCTGTCTGTGATTTTTAAGCATTCTTTTCCTTACTTAATGAAGGGCGGTCCGGGTCAACCTCAAAACCTGGGAAGCAATTTTTCCATGTGGATGCTTCTCGAACGAGTCAGGTTCACATTGGATGGTCTCGAGTGCAACAAAATCGGTGTCGATTTTGAGGCTTTTAACGCGCAGCCGGATTTTTGTGCAGCGCCCTTTTGGAGTTGCTTGCACAATCAACTTTGGAACTTTTGGGATGTTAGTTGAATTTTAAACTTAGGGGCTAAACTTTTTTTTTTTTTTTTTTCCTTTCTTTTTTGGGTTTATTCCACTATCTTCTCTTGCTGCTGAGCATTCGAGTGATTTTTTTTATTTATTTTATTATTTTTTATTTTTTTATCAGGCAGACCAGAATCGGGTTAGCAGGAATCAGGTTCCTCTGTATCGTGTGCAGGGAAGGTTCGAAAGGATAAATCAGCATCCGGTTAAGTTTTAGCAGCTTAAATAAACTTTCACACTCGAGAATGCTTGTTTCGATCGACTAATAATTTTTTATTTTTATTTTTTTGGAACGTGCAGAATGCAGGAAGTCATGCATTTTCGATAGGGATTACAGAAGTTCTCAACACAAACCTTTTGATCGAACTAAGAGCTGACGACATAGATTATGTCTACCAAAGGTTTAATCTTCAATCTTAAGTTTTCGCAAATAAGCTTATGTTTTTGTTTCTTTTGTCGACATAGCCATTTATGTGATCATGAGTTATGAAGGTCTCAAAATCTTTTCGCCATTTTCCAGGAGCCCAGGGAAAATTTTAGGTATAACGGTACCGACTTTTGAAGCGTTAACACAATTCGGTACTGCAACGATTACAACTAAGAATGTCGGTGAAGTTGAAGCATCTTACAGCCTTACGGTAAGATTTAGCGTTTGAAATGATTATGAAGATTTTGCTCGTTAACAAGATAGAAACTAGATTTTTACGTAAAGTATTCATGTTTGCAGTTTGATTGCTCGTCTGGTGTGAGCCAAATGGAGGTAATGACTAAAAGAAGTTGCAAAAACATTGTTTTAAAAGCTTCATTTTAAACTTCAAGCATGGAACTCATAATTTTTCTTTGATAGGACAGGAACAATTTTACATAATGAAACCGAAAGAAGTAATAATCCGATCATTCAAACTGTATCCAACGACTGATCAAGCAGCAAGATATGCATGCAAAGGTATTAACTTTTATCTGGGGATATATTCCTGAGCTCGATTTCCAGATATATCGTTGTATGTATATTGAGTAGAAGTCGCCTCTGGTTATGTGTCTGATTTTTGCAGCAATACTGAAAGACTCGGATTTTGGCGAAGTTGATAGAGCCGAATGCCAGTTTACCACTACAGCTACTGTTCTTGAAAATGGATCACAGGTTTATGAAAAATTCAATACACAAGTAAACAAAATGAAGAGTTTTTATCTGGTTTACTCTAACACGAACGAATTATGTTCGACAATATTAGATTCCATTTCAACCTCCAGAGACTAGTGTAAGTGGTTTTTTCGGCTCGATTAAGGAGATGTGGAGAAGGTTATGGACCAGTTTAGCAGATTTCGTCACCGGAAAGAATTGCAGGTAAATAAAAAATATAAAAAAAATAGATGCAATAACTTAAATCTAGAATGATTTTCTAAAACTAAAACATCGACAAAATTTTGGCAAAACAAACAGAAGCAAATGCTCTGGATTTTTCGACTTCAGCTGCCATATACAGTATGTATGCATGAGCTGGATCTTGATGTTCGGTCTGTTTCTAGCGATCTTTCCAACAGGTGCCGTTTTTTGTACTCTCTGTTCGTAATTTTTCTTTTTTCCCTTAGCGCACGAGTAAAAAAGAAAAATTAACATCACTCATCTTCTTCCTCACGAACTGCAGCTGCATTGCTTATCTGGCTTTTGCACGAAAAGGGTCTTTTCGACCCGATATATGACTGGTGGGAGGATCACGTGTGGACTTTCGAGTCGCAGTATAGAGATTCCGATCTTTCACTCGTCCACTTGAAGAGAAGAAAACACAGGCATGAACAAAGGCATCCTAATCATCATCATCATCGTCATCAAAAACACGGAAATCACATGAAGCTGCCAAGTCATCACGTTGACCCCGGGCATAAAACCAGATTAGGGGAAGCTGATTACAGCTATTACTTGCACCATGTGAATAAGGATCGGCACAAGCAGGCTAGGCACAAGCGCCCGGTTTTATCTGAACAAGCTCACTTGAACAGAGTCGAGTATGAGAAGATGGGGCATCATCACAGGAGAAGAAAAGACCGGCATTTGGTGGGCTCGGGTGAGAGCAGCGTAAACCGAGATGAATATTCAAAGCACAAGAAGTTCGTGCGGGATGATAGATATTTGTAGGGTGTGAACAAATTTAGTATGTGATTGTTTATGTGTAACTAGAAAATAGTAATAGTTGAAACTTTTATGTATGAACAGAACAGATGATAATTACATTTATAAGATGTAAGTTATTGTGAGTATGACATCAGTTCGATAGATTGAACCCATAAAACGTCTCGTGGTCTCAAAGAGAGAACATAAACGACGATCTAGCTCCTTTAGATCGGTCGCAAACCAATCCCTTGACAAGACGTGTGTGGTCCATTTAATTTTTCGTGCATAAATAATATTTAACCTCTAAATTTCAAAAGGTTCGTATTTTACAACAGAATAGATATAGATAGATAGATATAAATAGAAAAATGTAGATCCCTTGAGAGAGAGAGAGTTCGACATAAATTTGAGCAAAGCTAATGCAGAATAATGAAAATTCATAGTCAAGAGGCTTTCTACAACGTTAAAGAATCCTCTGCACAAGTCAAATTTGGAGACAAAAACAAGCCAAATTGGCAACTGAGCAAGCTGTTGACTCAGACAGTTAACGAACGTTGACTGCATTCAGCGAAGAATACATGCTATCGATAGTTAGGAAGTTCTAGAGAAACTTGCATTTGTGCTGCCATTAAATCAGGACTAAGTAACTGCAAGTTGAAAAAACCAGCAGGAAAAATTCGTTTTCACGATGATTTAGTCGATAGATACGTACCCTCCAAATCCATAAATTGTGCGTGCATCACAGGACTCAAAAGTGAAACTCCGACATATCCACAGAAGATGAAGAACGAAAAATCGCATTTCTGCATGTGAAATCGACTTTCAGGTTCAAGTCTTGATCGGTAAGTTGATAAACAAACGAGAACGAGAAAGGAAAAAAACTGCTATTTCGTTCACGAATAGTCTCAGCAAGCTCAGGTATAAAGCTGAGTCCCCCACCTGATAATGAACTACAAAGTTAGGATGCTTAGTAAAAGCTCTCAAAACCATCAACAGAGCCTTAAATTATTCCTGAATGATAAAGAAGCATACATATTACTGAAAGTTTATCAAAAAACAAACAGATATGTAGCGACAAATCGACGTCCAACACACAACATGATCACTAGACATGTGATGAAGAGAAGAGTACATATGAGTACATCCAAACTAATTAAGACATGATAAGACATGTGATGTCTCATAATTAAGAAGTAAGTTATTTCCTTCATAAGAAAGTCTTTGAATTTGAACATGCCCTTGCTAAGCTGGAAATGGAATGAAGCAGCAAGATTAATGCTTGCTGTAAGTTGTAGTAGAGATAAATTTAAAGTCTTGCTTTCCAGATGGAAACCTATAACCTGAAAAACCACTACAAAAAATTGTTATATTATGAAAGTTCCAACGGATATTCCAATGATATAGGTTTCTTTGGAATCATTCCAACGGAATGAAAATATTCCGTTGGAATGTTTTTTTAATTGGAATTTTAAATGGAATTTGATGATTCCAGCGACTATATTTCGAACGAATTTTTACCGTAGGAATTTACGTTAGGATTTTTATCTCAACTCCCGTTGGAAAATCTACCGTTGGAATCGTCAAAATCTAACGGACATTCTAATGGAAAACTCATTCCAACGAAATTTTTGTTGGAATTTCTGTTGGAATCATTTGAAAAATTCAAACAGAAATAATAACATTGAAAAATATATATTAGAATTGCCGTTGGAATTCTAGTTGAATATATTTTCGTTGAAATTTCATCATTTTCTTGTAGTGAATAGCCTAAATTTAAGGATACAATAGGAATTTGATGAGTGGATCTCTGAGGAGACGAATGAAAGAGAGGAAAAACTATGTTTAAGATTTTAGAGATCTATACTTATATAATAAGGTATCCTATTTACTAAATTTAGTAGGTTGAAAAGTCAACGTAATTAATGCATTGCTCTTTTTATCCAGAATTTTATTTAATTATTTTATATATTTGTCTTATATCCCATAAAATCAGTTTATGAAAAAAAAATCTCATAACATCTGATAAGTAAAAAAAAAAAGACGTAAAATCTTCACTAAAATAAAAAATTGTTTATTTATTTGTCTTATTCTATATTAACATCGATTTTGTCAAAACAAATCTCATAAAATTGATGAAGTTAAAATGTGTACGTAAAGTCTATCTATACTAAAAAAAAAAAAACAGATTCGAAATTCCTTATCTAATTGCTTCTTTCCCTTATCTAATTCTTTCTTATTATCGAATTGTACGGAAATTTGTTTTGATTTTGTTCAATCATCTAATTGTATTAGTATTATATCTCATAAAATCAGTTTAAAAATAAACCTCATAACATCCGATAAGTAAAAAAAAGTACGTAAAATCTTTACTAAAATGAAAAAGACTTTATTTATTATCTAATTGTATGGAAATATGTTCTGATTTTGTTCAAACCGATTTCTGTATATTCAAATTCAGATTTTCTAATAAAAATATTAACAACAATATGTATCTACTCTACCCACTATAAATTACAAATCTCAAAATATCGAGCCATCATCTTCCTCTGTCAACATCCTGCGAACAAAAAATATCACCACTAAGTCTTTTATTCAAAACAATGAATCAAATATTTGAGTTAATCAAACAAGTCAATAGGTCTAATAGACCTATGCTCAAAGTTCGAATTATGGGAATATTTTTCCAAGACTAGGGCAGCACATACAAATCATATCTCGAGTTGGTTCTGCATGATAAAACTGTAAGCCAAATTACTTGAATTTTTGTTTTAATTTCGAAAATTGAAACATATATTTTTTTTGCGTGTATGTATTTAGATATTTTTGTACATGTTTAGTGAAATATATTTTTGACTATTTTTTAAATTATATTTTCAGATTTGCAATTTGACTTATTTATTATGTATATCGTGTATGTTTTTAGATATTTATTTATTTTTATTTTTGTGTATTGTAAAACTTTTATTGAATATTGCATCTTATAGCGTAATAATCTCCAAATAAATATATCCCGTGCCTCGCACAGGTCACGTACTATATATATCCCGTACATTTTTCTTTAATCATTTATATAATTATAAGGCTCGATAAACGGTCTTAAAATTGTGTACCCCGTGCATCGCACGGGCTCTATACTAGTTTATAAAAAGCTTTTAAAAGTATCAATTGAATATATGATTTTTTTTTTTTTTAACTTTCAAATACAAAAGAATTTTAAAAGTTTTTAAGAGTTCCATTTGAATACACCATCCTAAAGATGGCGTGATATTCGAGTTCAACTCGGTTCGTTAGGCTTAAGCAAAACTTAGTGAGGATGCCTGGATATAAGTTTTTTTTTTTTTTTTTTTTTTTTTAAAAAAAAACAATTGTTTTTAACCAATTGTTTATACTTTTTAATTCAAATCCAACTCAACTTTAACTTAATATAATATTCTCAATATAATTAAATAATATCATTCAATCGTTGTTACACATCATATCAATTTTAACTCATCATTTATCCACCCACTATCCCTTCAGATCATATTTCTCTCACTTTTACATCAAATCAACTTAAATTATTTTATTTTAAACATTATTTTAATATAAAACCAAAATCTCACTAACAAGTGACCATACAATTTTTTTTTTTTCAAAATTAACCATACCAATCAAAAAAATCTAAATCTAATCACAATACCTTATATCAAACATCTCTAGATAATCTTGAGTCCGACTTTCTATGCTAGGGTTTTACATATTTTTTTATTTTTTAAATTTTTGCTTAATTCGTTAATACCCATTAATGAGTCGAACTCTAGTTTGTTGATAGGTTCCTTGACTTACGTCCGCTCGATTTACTATAAGTATGTGACATTGAATACCTAAGTTCTCGTTCATTTATACTAAAATATGACATAAAATATAAATTTTATACAATTTACTATAACTCAATTTGTTACGACTTGAGTGAGACGCCCGATTTCATTCATCGATTTGTTTAATTAATGACGCGAGCTCGAAATCCATTATCTGGAGCTCGACTTCGCGCGTGTACACCCTAGATAGGAACTTAGGATAGATTACAAAAAATCTAAAAAAAATATATATAATAAAAGAGAATAAAGAAAAACAAAATTATATGGAAAATACTAGAGATGCCAAAAGTACAGCTCAATCCTAAACACTTGATCATATATATCACAAAGATTTTATTCAAATTTCATATGCACACCAATATTAATCACACAAAAACTCTTATTTAAATAATATAACATTAATAAAAAATAAATAGTGGAGATATCCAAGTTCACATTTTTATTTTGGAAAAATTACAAGAACAATCGAGAGCAAACATGGCGACGCCCGATCAGGAAGCAATCGACACGTTCATGAACATCACGGGCGTCGATGAGGCCACCGCCATACGGAAGCTTGAGGTAGTTTTTTTCAGTGTGAATAAACCTGGCAATTCAATGGTTTTTTGATCGTTATTGTTGTACTTGATGCTTGTATTTTCTTGTGTATTAATTGAAAGTTGTTTCAGTTGAGTTTTCACCGGCAGTGTGCGGTGTACGTTGATTGTAAGTCTTCGTAAATGTTTGAGTGGTTTGCAGGAGCTAGGGTTTTTCTGTGTCCCGATTTCTTTTGTGAGAATGATGGTATTTGCATTTTTGTGGGTTCAGAAAAATCGACGTGCTTGCTTTGTATGGGTGGGGAGTGGGGTGGTGGTTCCGGCTGGGATTGGGATTGGACTGAAATGGGTTTCGACTGTCGTGTGTACAATTGATTGATGTCCAGTTTGTTCATCTCCGAAGGGAATGGGATCTAGTTTTGTTTGTTGTTCCAATATAGTCGGTGAACTTTAGTATCTTTTATTGGACTTTGAGGTGAAATTTGTTGATAGATTTTTGCTACTACATGAATTCGTGGAACAATTCTGACTCGGTGACTTGATTTTCGGTACTTATGTATATATCAAATGGCCCCATTAGTATATTCTGGTGTCTTTGGTGGATCAATACTAAAATTTGTAAATTACATGTGGGATGTCTTTTGTTGGAGGATCGGTAATAACTCCCCTTAAACGACTAGATTCTGTAACATGGATCGTTTGTTACGAAGCCACCGCCATATGGAAGCTTGAGGTAGCTTTTTTTAGTGTGAATGGACCCGACAATTCAATGCCTTAATCGTTGTTATTTTACTTGATGTTTTTTTCCTGGATTTCGCTAGTCGGAGTTGTTTTAGTTGATTTTCACCAGCAGTATGTGGTGTATGTTAATTGCAAGGCTTCGTGAATGTTTGAGTGGTTGCGGAATCCAGGGCTTTTCTGTGTTCCAACTTCTTTTTATGAGAATGGTGGTATTTGAACTTTTGTGGGCTTAGAAAATTCAACGTGCGTTGCTTTCGTTGTATGGGCGGTGGCGGTGGCTGGGAATGGAGCTTATTGGACTGAAATGGATGGTGTGTTTGCAATTGATTGATACCGATTTTTTTTTTTTTTTTTGGTTTATTTCGGAAGTGAATGGAATTTAGTTTTGCTTGTTGTTCCAATTTAGTTAGTGAGCTTCAGTATCTTTTAATGGACTTTGAGGTGAAAGTCATAGTTTGTAGTTAGATTTTTGCTACTATGTGAATTTATGGAACGATTCAGATTTTGTGACTTGATTTTGGGTACTTATGTATATAGCAAATGGCCCCATTTAGTATATACGGTATCTTTGGTGGATCTATGTCAAAATTTGTAAATTACATGTGCGCTTTTTTTCGTTGGAAGGTCTATAATAAGTGATAACTTCCCTTAAATGACTAGATTCTGTAACATTGATCCATTATTACCCGTTTTATTTGGCCACTTTGTCCCATCACTTGGACGTTCTTCCCAGAGTCACTATTGAACAATAAGTGATTTCTTTTAGGCAATTATTTTTCCATCCCAGAATTTACTCCTTTGATGTTGCGTACACTTTTATAATCTTCACATGTTCTTGTATTTGTTTATTTTTAGCTGTATCTAGTGTTATTAATAGCGGATGGCGGTACATGGCGGTTTGCCAAAATTCAGCCATAGCGGCGGCGGCCTATGGCGCCGCCATGACCGCCATCCTTCACTAATTTTGCATGGCTGACCGGATTGTCAAAAATCCGCCACGCCATACCGCCATGGGCCATGGCGCCAACATGGCTGCCATTTGATAACACTGGCTGTATTTGTTGCTTGACGAGTTAGCTAATATGGTCGCAAAGAAAACGTTATTTGTTATCTTTTATTCTGTTGCCATTCACTGGAAGTTTGTGTCGGTTAATTAATTTCCCTTACTCTCTTTAAGAGCTTTCAAGAATTGTAGGGGGGAATGTTACTATTCCGACTTTAGCCTCTGTAACTTCTCACTTTGTGATCATATTTGGTTGAGCAGGATCACCATGGCAATTTGAATGCAGCTGTGAATGCACATTTTGGTGAAGGGGATCAAAACCTGTTAGTGTTTGCTGCTTTCTTATATAATTTGGTTATTAGCGTGACCCTTAGGGACAACATTTGAATTAAACCTTTTATTAATTTTGCATCTCAATGTTATGTGATATATGTTTTTTTTTTTTTTTTCTTCTGCATGTAGAACTCAAGAAACATCTTTTGCTGCTCCCCAAGATGATATGGAGATAGATGATCCACAACCGTTCGAGTCCCGCAGACCTATTTCTTCACCATTCCCATTTGCCAGGGATTTGAACCCTTTCTCTCTCCTGGATCCCAACTTCACCAGAAATATATTTGGTATTGGTAGTGCTCCAGCTCCATCACCTTTTGTCTCACACCCGAGAGAGGTGAGGGAAATCCCAATTGAGGTGAAAGACGGGATTGGAGCATCCAGTCAATCTGGTGGTGCTCTCAGGATTGAAGATGTAACTGAAACTGCGCGTGAACATGGTCCTGAGATTCGTGGAATGGTTATAATTGATGATGAAGTCGATGAAAGAAGTTCACCGAATTCGCCAATCACACAAGCTGTCGGGCACGGGACTGGAGGCACCTCCACTAATTATAGACCAAGTGCTCCCACTGTTATTGATGTGCCTGACTATGGAGATGAGATAGAAGAAGAAATGATTCGAGCTGCTATTGAGGCTTCCAAGCAGGGTGTTAGAGTGCCAAATCAATTATTTGACGATCATCTTGTATGAAACATATTTATAAAGTATTGACGTTGCTAATAGTATTTCTGTATATTTTAAATATTGATGTTCATCATTGTTATGATACAGGGTGCCAGGGACCCCTCTTCTCAGCAAGGAGGACAGTCTCACCAAGAAGATGCTGAGCTTGCACGTGCCGTTTCATTGTCATTGCAGGTGTGCTGCTACTGTCTAAAATTGTTCTTTTCTAGCAATATCTGCTCCAGTTAACACAATTTGAATCTAGACTGCAGAGCAGGAAAAAGCGCTTAGGGAACAGGAAGGCGAGATTGGAGATACAGAAGTAGGTCTGATACCTGCCTCAGAGGAGCCGGGCAGAATACTTCCCAATGGAAGGTTAGTCATATCTGTCGTCAGTGTTGGTTCATGGACTACGGTCTTCATGAGTGTCTCAGTGTGCTCAAATCGATCTTCAAACTGTTTGTTCTCTGGAGTTGCATAAGCATCTGGTATCTGCAGGCAATCTCAGTTGGAGCATGGAGGCACATCATTCCAAGATAAAACTGAAGATGTAGAAGATCTAACACTGGTTAGACATAGGAGGAGGCGTGTGTCTTCAGGTCATCTCGACACTGCCAACAATATTGAAGTAGTCGAGGTCAGCCCACCTTCAAGCCCTCCACAGCATGATCGTTTTCATGATCCACAGCGTGATACAAGTGATTTCCCTACCGATGAGGTGATTCTTGGGTCGATATTTTGTAAATTCCTCTCATGTTTATATGTGAATTTGAAAGAAGGAAGTTTATCCTTCGGCAAATACTGAGATTTTTTTTTTTTTTTCATTTGTTCGAAAGTGGGGTGGCATCTCATCAGAGGAACATGATGAAGCTGTAATGCTTGAGGCTGCAATTATGGGTATCCCATATGCACCTCACCAACTTATGAGAAATGGTTTAGGTACGGCAGTGGATAACTACCCGAGGCCTATGCCTCGTCCGCCATCACCTTCTCTTACTGCTCAGCGAATGATACGAGAACAACAGGTTTACCCTTTTGACCTCTCGCAAAATTTCCACTTCGCCTGGGTTTTACCAACCTGTAAGTTTATGCAGGATGATGAGTATCTTGCTGCATTACAAGCCGACAGAGAAAAGGAACTGAAGGCTAAGGAAGAAGCTGAAGCTGCTCTGGCAGAAGAGAAGCGCAAAGAGGATGATTTGCGCAGAAAACTGCAAGAGGAAGAGGTACCAAATTTTGGGATTTTAGTCAGTTCACATACTTATATACTTCCTCTGGAATGATTTCCATCTTACTTCAAGATTCTGGTTCATTGATATAACGTGTTGCATGACAATACACTATTATATTTTAATTGATTTTGTCTGGATTGTACCTACCAATAGATGTAGTTGTGATGCTACGCTCTATTTGATGGAGTTTGGTAAACAGCTTTGAAAAGTTGTTGTATTTGGGGAACTGAATGCTTTTTTATTGAACCTTTGAAATGCTAGTTTGTTGAAAATTCTTCCCTGAATATTTTATGGTGTCAGATAATGCTGCCAAGTTGATCTGTTCTAAGGGCACATGTGTTCCCCCTCTCCCTCCCTCTTTTCAGGAAATCGAGAGACAACTAGCTGCAAAAGAAGCTTCTCTTCCTCAGGAGCCAACAGCAGATGATGAGAATGCTGTTACCCTCCTTGTGCGTATGCCGGATGGAAATAGACGAGGGCGGCGCTTTCTGAAGTCAGACAAGCTACAGGTAACCTTTCAAATGAGATGCGCACGAGCATTCCTGGGTTTGCAGATCAATATTTGACACTGTCATGTTCAATTATTAATGCATTCTTGTATAAGTGAATAACACAGGCCATAAGATCATTTAATTAAGTGAAGAACTCTTTCACGAATAAAACAAAAAAAAAATAAAAATGTTCCGATTCTTGTGTTTTCCCTATGGTTTCTAAGTTAAATTCATCCAATATCAATAACAGTTTAATCTATTAATATTTGAAAATTCATTATAAGTTCTATTTCTTTTTCAATATTTAAAAGCTGTATTCAATTTCTTGTTGGTGTTTTGTTTTTTGTTTTTTTATTGAACTGGGGTACATACTCAAATACATTTGGAAGTGAAAAAAACACGAATCGATGATATACATACATATAAGCTTAAGCTTTCCCAGGAACACTTTGCATGGGTTTATGTCATGCGAGTTGCTTCTTGCATATGTTATGCTCTGATGGTGAGAATCGAACTTATGATGATTCTTTACTTCATAAGCTCACTTGATTTTTCTGTGTTATTTTTTGACAGTGTCTGTTTGACTTCATTGATGTTGGCAAAGCGGTCAAACCTGGCAGCTACCGATTGGTAAAACTTTCGACCATCAAGTTTACTAATTAGTAAAATATTGTTCTTGGCATACCTTGAAACTCTAAGAGCATGCTGGGATACAAGATTTCCAAAACAAATCCGATCATTTTTAACCAATTACTTTTTTGAACTCAGATGTAACTCAACTTTAACCCAACACTATCCTCAATATTATCAATATAATTAAAGAATACCAATCAATCATTCTTATACATTACATTAATTTTAATTCACTATTGATGTAGAGGGTAGTACGAATGGGAATAAGATGAGATACTCTCTCAAGAACGACAAACAAAAATCTCAGTTCATAATAATTTGTCCTCCTTCATCGTAGTCTCACAAATAAATAATAGGGAAAGAGTCCTATTCTAGTATCTTGCCTAGCATACTGCAAAATATTTATTTTAATTACCTAAAATAAAAGGAAATAACATAATAAGCAAATTAATAATAAATGACTTAAACTCGAAGCCTATCATACTTATTCAAAAAGGTGATCGCGGTCTCGTCTCCATCATCCTCCCCCGGTTGGGAAGGATTCGCCCTCGAATCCGAACTGGTCTCGTCTTCGTCCGAGTTGTCGCCCGTAAATGGTACCAAATGCTTGTCTAAAAACGTCAGACGTCTGGAGATGAGACGAAAGGCGAAGGCGATAAGCATTAGGGTTGATCTTCTCAACCACTTCGACCGGCCAATCTTACGAGCAGACAACTTATTATACTCATGAGCCGAGAACCTGTCTTTCGTCAAAACCGCCCACACAAAGTCACCTACCTCGAACTCGACGTGGCGGCGCCGAACATCTTCCTAGAGTTTGTAGGCCAATCTTACGAGCAGTCATCTGCCTAGAGTTTGTAGGCCGCGTTGCTGTCCTTCAAATGAGCCCGAGCTGCTGCGTGTGTTGCTTGGAGGTCCGCGATGAGGTCGGCAGCCCGTCGATTAGTTGCCGCCGAAGAAGGTAGGGCTAGGCCGATGGTCTGCGAGGTTGCACTGCGTAAACCGTCTGAAAGGAGAATAGCCGGTGGCCCGGCTGATGGCCGAGTTATGAGCAAACTCGGCCTGGCTAAGGCTGGTCCCAACACTGAAGGTTATCACCGACGAGANNATTCACGACCTCCGTCTGCCCATCCGTTTGTGGATGATAAGCGCTGCTAAAATCCAATCGTGTATTGGCCATACGCCACAGGCTCCGCCAGAAGTAGCTCAAGAAACGAGTATCACGGTCAGAAACAATCGAAGACGGCAATCCATGGAGGCGGTAGACCTCGCGAAAATGTAACTGGCCACGTGAAGAGCATCAGTGGTTCGTTTGCAAGGGACGAAATGCACCATCTTCAAAAGCGATCCACAACCACGAAGATAGAATCAAACCCACGCCGAGTACGTAGTAAACCCAAGACAAAATCCATGCTTACCGCACACCATGGCTGAGAAGGAATGGGCAACGGACGATAAAGACCCGCATTAGAGGCCACTCCCTTCGAGACCTGACAAACCCGACAACGACTCAAATCGAGCCACATCCCGACGAAGCAACGGCCAAAAGTAGGAGCGACCAACCAACTCAACCGATCTGTCCCGGCCCACGTGATGCAGCTCCGCGATGAGCCGGTGCCGGAGACCGTCCGGAATGCAAAGTTGAACACCACAAAAAGGAAGCCGTCCGTAAGAGAGTAGTCGTCACATGGGCCCGTCTGGAGGCGGCTGTGAATGGGCCCAAAAAATGGGTCAGACACATAACTATCACGCAGCACATCAAAGCCTACCACTAGGGATGTCAATAAAACCCGTAGGGTCGGGTTACCCACGGGTTACCCGCAATTTCGGGTCGGGTAATCCCGAGAAGATCGGTTTTTGGGTTGGGTTCGGGTAGCCCGGGTCGGGTCGGGTATGGGTATAGTAGAAAAACCCGCTACCCGTTTACCCGCAACCACTGAATATTATATATATACATATATATGTATTTATAAATTATTATAAATATAAAAGTAGTCATGTGTAATTAGTATAAAAAGTATATTATTTATTATAAGTTTGATTAATGGTTAATTTTTATTTATGATTTTACAATCAATTTTTGTTAATTGTATGATAAAAAATTTAAATACTTAATTTTTAAATATAATATTATTAAATTGACTATACAAGATAAATAATTATCTCATTATTTATTCCAAAAATAATATAATAGTTTTTTGTAGTTTTTTATTGTCGAACTTAGTTAATAAATTGTTTTTTACATTGTAATTAATTGTGAAATTATTTTATTTTATTTTTAATATGAAACGAGATGGATCTAGTAAAGCTCAAATTTAAAAACTCGGGTTACCCATTTACCCGAAGAAAACCCACTAACCCGCCGGGTAAAACCCAACCCGAACCCGAAGATCACCAACCGGGTAACGGGTCGGGTTTGGGTAGGGTAAATTACATGCAACAATCCTCATATCCGTCAAAAGAAGAGTACGACGGCTCAAAGCATCAGCCACCCTGTTCGACACTCTCGATCTATGGCGTAAAACAAACGTGAACTGCTGAAGGAAGGCCGTCCAAGATGCATGCCGAGCAGAAATATTGTCTTGGGTCGCCAAGTGTCGCAATGCCTCGTGGTCCGTATAGAGTATGAATTCCCTATGGAACGTAGTACGAAGCCTGCTCAAACTGCTTGGGTCGGCGGGTGTTGGTTGCTTTATCCTTAATGGGGATCTCGCGTCGCCCCAATTCATTACTTCACTATCAGGAAAATGTGGTGACTATTCCGGCCCAATGCCGCCAGTGCTGAACAGCCCGAACCACAACATAGAACTCCACGTCATATGTGCTGTAACAAACACGTGGACATGATAATTTCTCGCTAAAGAACGAGACTGGGCGACCCTCTTGACCAAGAACCGCGCCAATGCCCACCTTCGAGGCGTCACATGAAAGCTCGAAGGCCTTGGAAAAGTCAGGTAAGACGAGCATAGGAGCAGAGGTCAATCTGTCCTTAATTGCCACAAATGCAGCCTCAGCAGCAGGAGTCCAAACAAAATATTTGCCAGTGAGGCAATCAGTGAAGTGATGGGAGCCGTAATGGTACTGAAGTGGAAAATAAAACGCCAGTAGAATGAGGCGAACCCGTGAAAACTACGAGCCTCCGTAAACGTAGTCGGGGTAGGCCAGTCACGAATAGTGGTCACTTTGCTATCTTCAACTCGAATACCCTCAGCTGAAATCACAAAGCCCAAAAACAGAACAGAAGGCACCATAAAACAACACTTACGAGAGGCAGTAAAGAACGCTTCAGCTCGCAGAACCAATAAAACCGACCGTACATGCTGGAGATGCTCCTCCACCGACCGACTGTATATAAGAATGTCGTCGAAATAAACGACACACTTACCAATAAACTCTCGAAGGGACTGGTTCATCACTCGCATGAATGTGCTAGGCGCGTTAGACAAGTTGCATGGCATCACCAACCACTCGAATAACCCCTCACGAATTTTGAAAGCCGTCTTCCACTCGTCACCTGGGCGAATACGAATTTGATGATAGCCGCTACGGAGATCCAACTTGGTGAAAACCG